ATTTTCTAAGTGCAACTGGGGAGACTAAGTGTATAAGGCAGTAACAGAGTCCAAAAGCAGACTGGGTACGTCCTGTTACCAGCCAGATTCACATTAGGACACAATATACTAAACATTCATTTGTATCTGGGCTGAAAAATGTTTCTTTCTGCTCTCAGATAAGATAGGTAAAAACATTTTACGTTGTATGTAAATGTAAGTTAAAGGGTACACTAAAACGTAACCTTTAAACTTCCCAGTGTAACAGCATACCACTTCCTCTTCAGAGATAGCACTCCAAGATCAATTAATCATGGCTAAGACGAACAAACGGTCAACATTCTTAATTAGTGTTGATGCATTCTCCTCTGTGCCCTCATCTGTCATGAAGACTGTTTAAAAATCTGAGTTATTAGTCTTTATTGAGGAGTGGATCTGGTTAATATCTCTAAGAATAGAAATCATTCATCCATCCACTATACACTGGTACCCGATAATTCCTACCCCCTATCTCAGGTACCGATAACCACCGCCCTAAGACCATCTTGGTAGCTATAAATCAAAATGAGTGTAGCTCCCATGCAGCTTGGGTTAATTTTTGTTTACAATATATCCACTGAAAATGCTGGTACGACACTTGAAGAGTCTGCTTATAGATTAGTGCACAGGAAAATATATAAAGTAGTCAGGGCAGAAAGGAAAGAAACACATCAGTCACACAGAACAGTAAAATCTCTCTAATCCTAAACGCACAAAACACAATTCATTCACTTGATAACTAGTTAGATTTATCCTATACAATATAAATCAAAGTATTTGACAGCAACATGTCTATAAAAGTTATAAGTTACTGCATTGAAACTCAAAAGCATTTTTTCATCTTAACAATAAGGTTTACTCCCTTATTTCTGGTGCAAATAAAGCACTATTAGTAACACAGAAATAAGCACGTGTCAAATATACTTTTATTAAATAAGATTAAAATACCATAAAGTAAGCTACAAGGAAAGTTAAATTTAAGATTCAATGCCAACTGTAAATTATAGGATTATTAAGATCTTAATGACTTACAGTTAGTGACTTTTTACGAGGGAGTGTAGCGATAGGATGGGGGGGTAACAGCTTTAAACTGAAAGAGGGTAGATTTAGATTACAGTTTTGGAAGAAATTCTTTCCTGTGAGGGTGGTGAGACACTGGAACAGGTTGCCCAGAGAAGCTGTGGCTGCCCCATCCCTGGAGGGGTTCAAGGCCAGGCTGGATGGGGCTTGGAGCAACCTGGTCTGGTGGGAGGTGTCCCTGCCCAGGGCAGGGGGGTTGGAACTCGATGATTTCTAAGGTCCCTTCCAACCCAAACCATTATATGATTCTAATATGAAAAAGAAATATTCTACATTAAATTTTACAATTTCTTTTGCTGTTTACTAAACATGCAGACAAAAAAAATCTATGGAAAGACAGAGAATTAACCAATAATGGGACATAAGTGCAGGAAGCAGCGCTGGGCAAGATCTTGATTCAAATCAGTTTTCTACTCTGACCAGATGTGCAAGTTAAGATATGGAAAAAAAAAACCCCAATATATGGGAACTTAGAAAGAATGAAAAATAAAAGCAAGCACCCAGGAGGAGAACTGTCACCTTAAAAAAAATTACCTCTTCTAGTACTTTCAAGTTCTTGTTCTTCCAATTATATTTAATAAATTAGTGGGCTAGTCCTGAAGAAAAAAAAGAAAAAAAAAAAGGGGGAGGCGGAAGGTGGTGTTAAAAAAAAAAGAGGGGAGGAAAGGACCAGAATTTAGGAGATCTCAATTTGTGCTACTTTATTATTTTCAAATAAATTTCTGATGGATGAAAGACCGGAGACTGATTGGAGCTTTGTATGTAGAAATTACCTTTCCAATGTTTCATGAGTAAATCAATCTCTTACAATCACAACAGGACATTTTAATAAATTGCCACCACTCTGAATTTAATTATCATGCTTTAAACAGATACACAGTTTATTGCAATGTACAATAAAATGGAATAGTCAATAATTCATTTAAATCGGCACTGAACAGTTTCTTCAAGTTTGGTGCAATACTGAAGAAATTTCTGCAATGTTAGCACACTTCACAGAATTACAACAAATCTATATCAAAACCCACTAACAAATCATGTGGTTTTATAGACAATTTAAAAGCTAGTACACATTTATGCATCATACACTGCTACATATGAGGCAGTTTTCTTTCAATTAGAAAATTACCCAAGGAAATTATTTTCATCTAATAGGATTTCTGTGTACTGTTTTCTGTGTGTCACTGTGAAGAAAGCCACTTTTCATTATTTTCTTCCAAGGTTTTTTTTTTTAAAAAAAAACCTATAGCTTTCCACCTATTTCTGAAGCATTACGGCAAAGATCCCAGGTGTATTTATCCTAAAATGGAAAAATATGCAGTTCTTTCAGAAAGCAATAGTAAGTGAAAATGGTCAAACGAGAGCCTAAACCCAATGTTAGCATGCTCAGAAGAGCAGCACTAGATTTGGGCCGATGGGTTCAGCTGGGCTTACAAATTCTTATCTAGTTATCTAAATACTGGCCCTGTGCTTTCTAGTAGCTATGAATGAAAATAACTGCATTCTTGGCAATCTTTAAAAACTTTTATCAGAAAGAAAGGTAAGTGTTAATATAACTTCCCTGTCGATACAGACTTTACCAGTCTTTAAGTAAGCATGCCTGGATATTTTCCTAAAAAGACATGTGTAGCTCAAAAGCCAATCACAGTCCTGAGGCAGAAACTAATGACTGAAAATATTTCTTCTGTCTGATGAGGTTAAATAAGTTCATCGATTCATCAAATGGCCTTTCTTGGCTTCAAACCTATTATTGCTCTTGCTTTGTGTACGAGTGTCTTATCACTGAGTAAAGTTGAGCTATTCTGAACACAGTGATTCCACCCAAAGAACTTGTTAGTTCTGGTAGCTTTATCCTTTCATAATATGCGAAAGTCAACACCATGCTTCTACATCAACACCTTGTTTTCTATTTATGTAACAAAAGAACCCTGACTACAGTTACCTCTCCCAGCCCATTAGAGCACCGGGGTGGAAGCTTCTCCTATTACAGAATTCAGAAAAGCAATACACTTTTGAAAGCTTCATTTTTATCATATCGAAATAAAAATAAAGCAAAAAACTTCTGTAAGAAGCATCCCCTGCATGCTCAACATGTGCAACAACAAAAAACATCCTTAGGATCACATGAAAGCAGTAGTTTGGTTTTTTTTCTTTATACACAGCTTCTGAAAGAAAATGAGGTAGCAAGCACGCTGTTCCTTCACTTGCTTTTTTCATAAAAGGTAAGCCCTTTCACTAGTCAGTGTCAGTCTTTATCTGGAAATTCACCTACGAGATCTCGCAGTCTCCCCTGGAGGCGTGAGTCAAAACCAGGCTGGATGGGGCTTGGAGCAACCTGGTCTGGTGGGAGGTGTCCCTGTCCATGGCAGGCGGCTTGGAACTACATGATCTTTAAGGTCCCTTCCAACCCAAACCATTCTATGATTCTATGAAACCATACTCTATTTAAAGACACTCCCAAGGAAATACTTGGATTTTAAAGAATTGCAGGCATGTATATGAGAAAAATATATATACTTAAGGTATAAACAGAGATAAAACCCCTTCAAATCAAAACCAGTGTTGTTTTCTATCTCTATGGTGTCATACCAGGTAAATAACATTATTTATCCTATATTACAGTGTATCTTACTGAAAATACTCCATAAGATTTACAGAACTCCAGCTAGGAAATCCAATTTCGGGGCAAAATATAAATCAGTGAAAAATATTTTTCATTTGAATTTCAACAGAATCTGTATTATTGACTCTAGTCTGCTCGAGTACAACAGTGTCTATGTTATACTTTCAGAAGTGCTATTTATATATTGTAAGTCTAAGAGCTTCTGTTTTCTTCCCAGAAAATAAGTAGTCTTTCATAATTAATATCATAAAATGTTACAGCATCACAGTAGCAACACTACAGTTAATGGTTCTGAATGAAAGTGTTGTCTCTACATTGTTTTCAAATGCTTTTAAACAACATTAACTTGCTAGATGAGGCTTTTTTTCAGGTTCGTTCATGATATGGATATTCTGGCATGGACACTAATTACTTGGAAAGTCAAAAAAACCCAAACAAATCTGGATTTTTGTTGTTCAAAAACATGTTTACATTGTTAAATAAAAATCTGTATCTGTTTCAACCACTCTGTTTCTAGAATTGCTTTATGTTGCTTTTATCATTTTCAATAGAAAAAGGGTAGGAGAGCCAGGATCAAGACCTCAGATATGCTAGAAAGGATGCTTCTGTAAGATTTCTTAGCTGGAAATGGGGGAATTTGGAATCCATCTAATTAGGAGACTAACTAGGCGATGTTTTGGTGGTCAGAACAAAACCATTATATCATACTTATGTGACAAAAAAAGAAGACAAGTTAAAAAATCCCAGAACAAGAAATTACGAAACCTCATATGCAACTACAGATAGTGTGCAAAAAAAGCCTAATAAGCAGCTCATAACTTTTATGCCTAGTGCACAGTGTCGTTATTTTAAGTAACGTAGATCAGTACTTAGTTTAGCAGTCTCTTGACACACAGGACCATGAAATATACCTGTTATTAGATCCAGGAACGCTTCCCAGTTCTCCATTCTAGATGCATGCCGTGGCTACATCCTGAAGCCCTATCAAATTCAAACGTGGGTGAGAGAGATCTCTCTACTCCTGTCTGCTGCTCTCCAGGAACAGAACACACAGGCAGAGAGGCTGCAGGCTGGGCAAGGCACGATGCAGCAAGTCCCCCAGCCTAACTGCCCAGAGCCAGAATCCTGAGGTACGCCCAAATATCTCATCTCTACACAGCAACAACCCACCAGACGGTGTTTAGCTTCATTTTACTAAAGATATATGCCCTGTGCCATTTCTTCAATAGAGAGCAACAGCCAGAGTATTTCGATTCATATTTAAATATGAATAACTTACTTTTATTTCCAACCAAGGCCACAAGCGGCTGTGTTTCTGATTCTTCGTTCACTTTTTTTACCACATTATACCAGTCTTCTAAATTTTCAAAGCTCTGGCCGTTGGTAATATCATAAACCAAGAGAATACCCTGAATAAAGAGATATATTTAAAATGTTACAAATTATAAGAATATTTAAACATGGTAAAATTTGCATCAGTCTAAATTATTATCATAAAATAAGAGCGTTAACAAATAACGGCATTCTTTTGAGAAATAATCAAAGGCATTATAAGCTTCTGTAATAAACACATTTCATTACAGTATTTCTCCCGCATTCCATGTGTTCCAAATTCAGATGCTAACTGAACTACAAGGGCAGGAAAAAAAATGGCAATTTAGTAAAGAGCGCAATTAGTTATATTAGAAATATTCCAAACTGCATATGCTTTATGAAAAACCCAAAAGCACTTCACACTAATAGTAAGGAAAAATAAAATCATACAGGAGAAGGACATTTATTTCAGCTAATATTATTTGTAGCTTCACTGTTCCCAATTTGAAAAAAAAAAAAAAAAACTAGAAGCAGTTCAATCATACATTTCTACACATTGCCTGACTGTTGCATCTCTGCTCTCCTTTGGAAAGAAAGGCCAGATCCCTTCCTCCACTGTTGTGGAAGACAAGCAAGAAGTACTGGCAAGGTTTAAACTTTCAAAGAAGAAGCTAAAAATGTGGTCAAGAACCAAAAATAATGGAGTCCCGCGTATCTCAGAGATTCTGGGCCATGCTAAAAAAAAATAACTAGTCAAAGCAGTCATTAGTGAGGATTCCTCAGAGCTAATATCCAGTGTTACGAAGCACAGCCTATTAACAACCTAAATGTCCAACTTCTCCCCTCAGTAATTCTAAGATCAGCTCTCACAAATCACTCTCCTCTCAATTACTGAGACTTCTGCCCCTGCTTTTCACTATACCCTAATATAAAGTAAGTATCTTGTAAATGAGGAATAGAGTCAGAATTGGCTTCTGTCACACTTTTTCTCATGGAGTTCACATCTGGAAAAAAAAAAAATCCCTAGAACTGCACACTGTTCCTCACATGAAATTTTCATAAATATTCTAAAAAAACAATACAATGCATACAAAACTAGCTAGTTTAAAGACCCACTGTCAATAGAAACGATTTTTTCAAGTCAAGTTTTTCAGGCATTTGTCTGGGCTCAGCTTTACTTGATAGTTTCATGCAGAGTGTCTCAGATCATAAAATAGAATGCACACTTATTGAATTAATGTCACAGATGACAACAAACTGGTAGAGATCGTAAGATTACCTGAGGAGAGTTTAGATTATATGATAAAAACAATCTAAAAATAATAGGATGCAATTCAATAAGCACCATGACAAGTTCAAAGGAAGCAATAATCTACTGCACAATAGGAAACATCTGGCTTTGTAGCAAGTTCTATATAATAAGATCAAGGACTTATAGTATATCACAGTTGAATATGTCAACTTTATTTTGTAGCAGAAAGGAGAATATCACACTGGCATGAAACACCCCAGGTGAAATAAAGCATCCAGCTTTGGATACTGAGTGTGAAGAAAAGCGTAGACTAGAAGAGACCAGTAACAGTATCAGAGGCTTAGAAACATCAGAAAATTGAAACAGCCCAGTTTTTTCAACTAACACAAGACTGATGGCAGGCATGATGATGCTGGTAAAAGTTTCAAGGAAGGATAACAGGAGTTCTCTTTTTATATGCTCTTATACATAGTTTGAAGATGGCACTTATCCTATGAGGAAAAACTGAGGGAACCAGAATTATTCAGCTTGGGAGAGGAGGTGGCCCTGGGAGGACCTAAAATCAGCCCTCTAAAACATGAGGAAGCTATGAAGGAGATGGAGCCAGGCTCTTTACAGCAGGAGGATGAAACACAACGGACATAAGCTGGTACAAAAGAAATTAAAACTAGATACAAGGAAAAGCTTTTCCACCATGAGGAGATTTAAGCAGTGGAATAGGTTGCCCAAAGAGGTTGCTCAACCTCCATCCTTAGAAGTTTACAAGAAGGAACTGGATAAAGCCTTGAGCAACCTAGTCCCGTCTCACGGCTGGCCCTACTTTGAGCAGGAGCTTTGGATAGAGACCTCCTGAGATCCTTTCCACCCTGAATTTTCTTATGATTCTGTGATCAAAATGACATGCAGCAATAGGTTTAACTTACAGCAAGAAGATTGTAGCAAGAGTACATACTAGAACAACACATGTAGACAATAAGAATAGCGAAGCTCTGAAATACACCACCTTCAGAAGCAGCAGAGACATCAGCACCAGACGATTTCTGAAGGTTGATAAAAATGAAATAGACATGACAGGTATAGCTTTCGAGGAGGGCAAGAGAGTCTACTGAGATCCCTTCAATTCCTATTTCCCTATGATAGCAATACAAATCTATCTCTTTTCATTTGATGCCATCAACTCCTTGGCAAAAATGAGTTCTTGTTCCTTATATTTACATGGCTGCTATTAATTTCTGAGGAGCACCTTTCACCAGTTCATTCAAGGAAATTACGAATTATGACACCCATCTTTTCCTTTGCTATCTTTCCTCCTTTGCTTTACTAATCAAATCAAATATTAAACATCCACTTACCTCTTCCAACTTCTGTATAATTTACTTCTTAATACCTTGCATCTCAGGTAACAGCTCATGACTCATGATTTTTATAACTACCCAAATGCCTGTGCATGTAGATATTTGTCTTTCATAATACAAGCTTTGCTCTAGGAAGGACATACTGGTGTTATTTAATGCTCAATGGAAAAGAATATACTCAGGCTGAAGGACAGGAATTGTAAAAGTTAAAAAAAACAGACATAGGCTGGAAGTTGTAAATGAGAAAGTGCACGTGGCACACTTCTTTCACCAGTGGCTGAGTTCTCTCACCAGCTTGCAGAAAAGCAGAGCAGACTATCTAAACCACCTTCAGCATTGAAGAGTTTAATCGGAGTTAGATGGAAGATAAAGTTAATAGAATCTGAGCATTTAAGGTTGGCCAACTCAGCTTCTAACATTCTTCACCAAAACACTACTCTGCTGCATGTCCTCTAGCCAACTGCAGCCCACCTACACCTTTGGAAGAAAGGGTATTCATGGTGGATTTGCTGTGAAAGAAAACATTGAAAGTTCACAACTAGAGCTCCCCCAACTTCCATTCGGTCCCCTTCTCTGTGAACTAAACATTGACTCCAAGGCATATTTTCTTAATCATTCTTTTTTTGCATCTTGTCAGTATTTGCTATACTTCAGAAACAAAGATGGCAAGTATGACATCTTAGAGATAAAAAAAAAAAAAAAGCAGCATGGCATCTAGGTCATAAAGAATACTTCTTGCTTAAATTTTTGCCACAACAGCACTCTATAAGCAACTTAGTATGATATAGACAAGTAATGAAGGACTACTCAAAACTCCACAGGTAAAATTTATTTTACTTTTTTTTTTAATTTAACATAGAAATCCCATCATTGCTTTCACAGAAATACATCATACTTTCCACAAACTTACTGTATGCGGAGGACAGAATGTGCAGATAGTATAAAAGCTGTTATTTCCTTATTATGCATGAGGAATTAAGGTGGAAAATTAACACTGGCCTTTTCACACAAAATTAGCACATTTCCCTGCCATGAAAGAGGTTTGAAACATATGGAGGACAGCACACAGAGAACAGCACGTTAATTCTCTATTCTCCAGAAAGGTGGCAAATAGTCCCTGCTTGCACTCTAGTAAGAGAGACATTTTGCCTACACTGGCGCATATGTGAGTGCTTTTTGTTTTGGAATTATAGAGTATTTTCAAAAATAGGTCACTGGAAACTGCGAATATTACAGAAATGATTTGCTGGTCTCTGGAGAAGGTAGAGTCTGCAGTACTCTTATTCTATTAACAAGCCAATTTATGAGGTAGTGTACGCCAGCTCTTAAGGATACTTGAAACTAGATATGTGGGTAGGGGCAGCAATTACAGGTAAGAGATGGGAGCGGTTCTGAAATATTTACCATGCAAGCAACAGCAGAACCACTATTATGGAAGTGTTGTAACCAGGCAATATATTCACACTAGACAATCAACATTTAGAAGGTGTCGAGTTTATGTAAAGAATTGTCACAATAAAAGAAAGCTACAGAAAACACTAATTAAACACTAATTGAAACCATGTGTTTTCTTCTTCAGGTTTATCCTCAGCTGCCCTCAACCTTTGACTAACTTTAGCATGAAGGAACTAAATTAACTTTCAAATTTTCATTAATATTCATGAAATATCAGACCAAAATTCTAAAGTTTTTTTCTTCCAGTCACAGAATATTCATTTTAGCAAAGAGTAACGTCGTTATGGTATCTTCACACTTCTGCAGAAATGCTATTTTTACAGGTGAAACCAGTTTACAGTCTACATATAATTAACCACTGTTGTCCTGATACAGGGGATATGGTCACTCAAACACATGCAATTGAGTTGCCATAATTGAATGAGCTACTGTCTTTCAGCTCAGCTGTGGTAACTGACTGTGTGACTACTCTTAGCCTCTCTCAATTCTGACATGTGTGTCAGTTTTAATCAACGCTGTTCATTAGCACCTTTCATTTATAAAGATCAAAGAGCTCTTTCCCTCCCTCCCCAGCCTGCAGAGTTCTTCTGACCCATCAGTGAAATTCAGCTACCAAGATGGGATGCGGCAACTATATTGTCCTGGATGAGCAACACCAGAGGAAAAAAAAAAGGAGAAAAAAAACCAACTGCTTTGAGACAGCAAATGAACTGCAATTTCTCCAACTGCAACCACACAAGCAAATTAAGTAGGTTCTGATCCTTAAATCTGGCACTCTTATTTTAAAACATGGCACATGAAATCAGGGACCTCAGTCAAAAAATGGCACCTTAACAGTAATTTAACCAGAAGATCTATCCCAGAGAATTGATTAAGCTCTCATTCAAAGAGGAGTAAACCTCAAGTGGCAAGGTGTGCAGCAAAGGATAGATAGATTCTCCACTTCCTAACCAAATTGCAACTGAGAACAAGTGAACTTGCTATTAAGATAAACTTTTCAGTTGCTGTAGATTCCCAAAACTTCCATATCCAGCTGGTCTTAGTGTTTTATAAGTAGGTCTACCATACATTTGGATTGCTGAGCAGAAAACCAAGAATTCAGCCACTTATGATTTCTGAATCTCATGATGATCAACCAGATGAAGTCTATTCAAGGCTATGAGCATCCTTACATACTGGATAAAAAAATATGATGCGTACTGTAGGCACGCTGCAAGGTATTGTGCACATGTACTTTACACCTGATTTCAATTTGGAGAATACATGCAGTGAACACAGCTTCTGCAACAGGTCCAAATCATCTACTCTATGTGTACATGTACAGCTTTTTTACTTTGCAAATGAGATATTTAAAATGCCAGTTGTACCACACACGCTGACCAAGTGCAACACACCAGAGCTACACATACTTCTTTTGTAGCAACCTTCGGTAGAATTGCATCAATATTTTAACAGCTTTTTTGCACTGGGGAACTCAAAACTGAACAGAGGACTCCAAATGCAGCCTCAAAAATGTCAGAGAGGATAATAATCACTTCCCTTGATTTGCCTACTTCATTCTCACGAATGCAGTCCAGCATTCAGTTAGCTTTTACCATTGCAAGGGTGCATTGCTGACTCCCAATTCAACTGTTTTTTATAAGTAGGACCTCCACCTTCTTTTCTCCAAAGCCATTTCACAGAATCACTGGGGTTGGAAGGGATCCAATGCCCCTGTTCAACCAATGCCACCTACAGCTGGCTACCCAGGACCATGTTCAGATGGCTTTTGAGCATCACCAAGGATGGAGACTCCACAACGTCTCTGGGGAATCTGTGCCAGTGCTCTGGTCACCCTCTCAGTGAAAAAAACGTTTCCTCCTGTTCAGAAGGAACCTCCTGTGTTTCAGTTTGTGCCCACTGCCTCATCCTGTCACTTGACGTGACTGAAAAGAGCCTGGATCTGTCTTCTTGGTATTACCCTCCCCTCAGGTATTCACGTACATTGGTAAGATCCCTCTTGAGCCTTCTCTTCTCCAGGTTGAACAGTCCCAGCTCTCTAGTCCTCTCCTCACAGGAGAGATGCTCTCTCTTATGGCCCTTTGCTGGACGCTCTCCAGGTGATTCCCAGCCTGCATAAGGTTATTCCATTCCAGGTGCAGGACTTTGCATCTGTCTTCAGTGAACTTCACAAGGTTTCTGTTGATCCATTCCTTCAGCTGGTCATGGTCTCTCTCAATAGCACCTCCAGCATGCTGACCATTCTTCCCCAATTTTGGTGTCATTTGCAAACATACAAGCAATGTTTTGTTCCATTGTACAAAAAATTTTAATAAAAGACATGACCTCAGTACCAACCACTAAGGAATACAAATTATAACCAGGCACCAGTAAGACACTGAACTATGGACCATCTCCCTTTAAGTACAGCTGTCCATGCAGTCACCTTACCATCCACCCATCCAGTCTTTATCTCTACATTCTGTCTGTAATATTATGGGATATTATGTTAAAGGCCTTGCTGAAGTCAAGGTAAACAATATTCATTGCTCTTCTCTCCACAGAGCAAATCATCTAACCACAAAAGGCAATCACGTTGGCTGGGCACAATTAACCCCTGCTAATTCTTTGTTAGCTCTTCCCAATTACTTTCTTGCTGCTTTGCTGTCCCTTCACAGGAATTTTTATACGTACTTAAAACGATTTTTCTTACTAAATACTCCAAATTGTTATCGTTCCTCTTTTTCTTCTACAAAGCTACAGATGTTCAAAGTGAAATAAGCTTCTACCTAGAAACCAGCTGAAAGCAGTGTCTTTCCAATCATTCATGCTATTTCATGAATAGATGAAAATAAAGATAGTTCTATGTGTCTTTAACAGGTGCAGTTACAAAGCTAATAGAAAAGTGTGTTCCAAGTCAGCTTTGATGATAAGAAACCTATTACAGACATTGACAATATATGCCAGTAATGGGAGAGAGAACAGCCGTTCGTTCATTAAAAAAATAAGGATTACAATGAGGGTTGGGGGACAATTTAAGGAGAAAAGATTGGCTGTAGAGGTCTTTTGTTAATGTGCTCAGAATGATTGAAAAAAAAAATAAAATTAAACTTTTGTAACTTCAGGCTTACTGATTTCACTTACTTTTTGACTACTTTGGGGCACTAGTATTAACTTTTTGACCTGCTATTGGTGATAAGAAACTCCTGAGTTTATCATCAAATTCAATACAGAAAAACATAATAGCCTTTTATTTCCTTCATTGAGTTTACTTTGGGCATATGGCAACAATTTGTGATTAATCAAATTCCCTCTGTCATGGAAGCCACTTTCTCCTGTTGCTTGGTATATCTTTTAACAGGGCAGCACAATGTTTTTTATTAATAAATAAGAAAATCCTATAAAACACATGCAACAGCTAAAAACATTTAGACATTTTTTGAAAGTGACAATGTTAAATTGACAACTTTGTCTTTATTCTTTTAACTAATAAATTCCAATACGCTTAATTAGCCATTCCTGTGCTCTACTTATTAATACAAAGTTTCTGTCCAATAAAAGTTTTAGGATTCCATATTCCTATTGCTTAAAGTATTGTGGAAAAAATAGGTGCATTTGTTTTCTTTTCAGATAAATGTAACATTTTATAATAAACATGTTGAGCCTATTGTTCTCATTATAAACTCCAAATTAAAGAACAGAGCACATTTTAGGATCACCCATGTTAAGAAGTTTAGCGTAATACATCCCCCTAAATTATCTCATAACTCAAGACACCATTATAATATTTAGCTCTTACTTAATCCTACCATTCACTGTAAGTTGCTTAGTTAACCTCAAGATAAAATTAATTTTCATTGGATAGGAGTTCTGCAAAAATATTTAGCTACCTGGTTGCCTCCTTTTGTTTTCCCTCTTATAACCCCAGTTGCACGTATGAGTTTAATAGTGTAGGATTGCTCTTAATTTCCTCCTTCTACCTTTTCCCCCCAGGAGGCAGCTGTTCTAAAAGCAGCCACTATATCTACCATGTGGATATCCAAATAGCCTTTACTATTTACTATGATTGCTTTTCTTAACTCAAGACACAAAGCATGGAAACATACATCTGTTCTTGAGAGTTATTCAGATCTGCAAATACGCGCCCTCGCTTCGCTTTTTAAGGCAGCTCTAAAAAATTAACGACACACCAAAATTAGACTAGTGTATTAATATAAATTAAGTTTAGGTTAAGCAGAGATTCAACATTTTTGAAATCTACAAAACAACAACCTGTAAGATACGTATAATTTTAAGAACACAGTTTCAATTAATTTTTTGTAAATACTATAGGTACAATCATCACCATTTATACTGTACCTGAGCTCCATAAATATATTTATCCAGCATTTTGCCTCCTATCGTTTGCCCCCCTACATCCCACACTTGAAGTGTAACATTCAAATTTCCTGAAAAAGAAAATGATACAGATACTGTAACCTGCAAGATTTAGATACAAATAAAATTAAAGATATATTATCACAGCAGGCAATACAGCTCTAGCACATCAACAGCAATAGCTTTTTACAAGTATACAACAAATAGTAATTAAAATTCAACACAAAGATGACTATCATTTGGAAAAATGTCACTTGTGTCCAGCTAAGTCATTAAGATACAGTAAAACTATAGCTAAATATTAAAATATTTAATATTAACAGAAAAGAATTGGAATGCACAAAGTATAACATTCCTGACTAGAAATTATGTAACACATTTCACTAAAGAAACATGTAAAACCTTACAGAGAAAGTTCTATAGCATGTATTTGGAACTGAAAGGTAATACAATTAATGCCGTTTTAACCACATTATTTCATACTCTGTGTCCCTTCCCCTACTCCCCTCCAAATTGACTTTGAAAATCTGGAAGTGGGGAAAACCTGCACAGTGACTGTATTTTGGTAGTGATGCGCTTACTACTATACAGTTAAACAATTAGATAGTTGACAGATTAAAAAAAAAGAAATAGTGACAAACGTCTAAGTTGAGGATGCAAACTATGATTATTTCCCCCACTCACCACCCCAAAGCAGGGAACTAAATTGGACATGTTTTACATAATTTAATTTTTGAATCAAAACTAGATCTTCCTTTCTACTCTAAATGGTGTTTAAGCTGTGTTGAAACTGTTAACAGGTTTTCAAAAAACAAAGTAACAAAAAAAAAATCAGCGTAAATACAAAATATTTACTATCCTACAAGTTATGCATACATACTCTGCAAGCTAACAACTTAGAAACCCACAGACTAAACATACACACACAGCAACGTATGATGTATGTCACCACGGGGATACAAACACATTAAAGTATAATTTGCCTCACTTTGCGTAGTTAGAACTGTTTTCAAAACTGTACTGATTACCTGGAAGCATCAAACTCTAATTCAGTAAGGTCTGACGAAAATTTTTCTCATCTACATACAACTCACACACGACTTGCATGTTAATAACAATTCTACATGTTCATAAATATTCATAATTGCCTATTAATTTTATTCCTAGATTTAAAAAATTGCAACAAAAATCAAACTCTATGTTATTAACAATCTTGTTTCGCACAATGTAATCTATTCAGCCACCAGTTTATAACTAACACACTCACATTAGCTACGTGTGTGTGCTTCACGGAAATATATCCCAGTGCTCAATGAATATAAACAGCAAATTAGAACCATATAGCTGAATAGATGCTACTCATGGTATTAAATGTAGCTCTATATATTTTTAAGATGCATCTTGTTCTAATCTGGTTAAAAGCACAGATTTCCTAAACTGCTACTTTGGTGTCAAATATATAGAGATGGATGTGAGACAATCTATTCACAGTACTTTTCTAATACTAAGATAAAGCATTTCTACATGGAGCTTAGTAAATGCATCGTAAACACTCCGGCTCAATAAAGGCAACCTTTCATAGAATAAAAAGCTTATTTGTTTTGACAGTGCATATACTATGTATTTATTAATTATTTTTAAAGCTTAGAACGTAAGTGGCTACAAACAATGCAGGAAAGTCTTCCATAAAGCATCTGGCGTGGATAAAGGTGAATCCATAGTCTGAAATGACTGTGCAACCTCAGTGGGTAAACAAACTAAACATTCTCAAAAGCTCATCGTGCTGCAGTATTCCACCTCTAACTAGGTTGTATGTAATCTACTGGAATTTTACTGTGCCCTCCATGCCAGCTATTCGGAAACAAAAAGCTCTATAAACATTATCACTTTCAAATTCAACAATTTTCAGATGCCTAACTTTATGTTTGTAAATGCATTGTGTAAATTCTTTAAAAAGTTTCTAACTTCATTTTTCCTCCAAAGAGTAGTAATCATGCACAGCATACTGGGCTTAGTACCTGGATAACTGTATGAAATTATCTGAGAGATTTTGATGCAGAAGATTAAATTAAATGGTCTAACAGTGACTGTTCAAATTAAAAATCTAATGTTATGCATTATTTACTTTCCTTTGGTAACAGCAGAAGAAAAACTGGGGAAAAAAGGTTGGAACGTTCGTTTAAGATGCAGTGGTTCTTAATAAAGACCTCACTAACTCCCAAAATACATGCGGATCATTTCCAGTGCACAATGCTTCATTTTGCATTTTTTTTTTTTTTTTTTTTCAATTAGATCTTGTAATATTTGCTTTGTGCCCAGACTGATTTTGGGGGAGAAAGAAGGATGTTAGGATTATTTTGACAGAAGGAAAAACTCCAGACAATTTGCCTACAAAATATTTAACTAACAACTATGATAACAGCACATGAAGTTTTCTGCAAAGAGTTTGAAATCTTCTATTTTCTCATAGATTTAAGAGGAACATCCACACTGGAGAATGACAATAAAATTAGAAAGAAACTATGCATAATAAGACAATTCTTAGAAACAAGGTTAACATACCAGTAAAAATAACTGAAGAATCCTGTTAAAATAATATGCATAATATTACACTGGTAAGGAACAAGAAAACACTAGCACTTCTTTGCTCTGTATAAAATGCACACAAGTCAAAATAACTGAGGGAACACAGCACAGGTATCTAGGCTGTTTCTTGTATGAACTGAAGCCACTGGGCTCACTCAGTAGTGATCCTGCAGAAGTATACTTGGGGCATTGGTTAACCTTACTTAAAGTGCTGCACACTCAAGATGGAACTAAAAACACCAGTCTGCCCACTTTTTGCACTGACGACTTAAAAAAAAAAAATCCTTTTAACAGAAGAATCCTGTTTACTGGACTGTACCCACAACCCTCCTAAAAGTATTCGACTGGCTCTTAAGAATCTCTATCAGCAGACCCTCTAACAGATACACTATTTAAGCAGTAAAAATCTACAGCGTGGTTGCATCCAGACTACACAAGATAATGTATCAATAAATACAGTGAAATTGATTTGCATTTGGAGAAAATATTTTGAACAAACTGCACGAGGAGAATTTGCCAACAGTTGAACACTGAAAGCCACATTGTTCAAAATTAATCAAAGGATTTACTATTTGTATTAAACCATATTGTTTTACCATGTAAAATATTTACTTTTTTCACTGCAAAACTGCATCAGTTACTAAAACAACTGCAGACAAATACAGCCTTTATTTTAAAAAAGCCAAAAAGCCAGAAAAACAGTACGTTATTTTACAAGCAAAAATGCAGTTCTAATGTGGCCTACTGTAAACTTCTGAGCAATTCTAGAAATCAGTAATTTTAACATCTGAAATCTTTGTTTACATGTAAAGGAGAAAAAATATTGAAATACTGAACCATAATTATTCATCAATTCTCCCACTAAATAAGAGAAATCCAGGCATTTTTTCCTACTGATATACACATTACAATTTCTGTGCAGCATGAATTAAGCTTTCAAGTAAACACAGCAGCTCTGCAGATCCAGAACTAATCAAGAAATTAGAAAAATCCGCTTACTTAAGTAATGCTTCCCATTCCAGTATTTAGAAATTTTACCTCCCTCCCTCTTCTACTCCTTCCCTCTCTTTCCCCACCAGCAGTTCAGCTTACCTATAAAACACAGACATCTATATATACCTGAACACACACACCGGCATTGGCAAAACCAGAATGACAATCTACAAAAAAAATGCTTCTTCCTGCATATGAATACATTCCACAGACATTACTATTTTGTTAATTATAAATGAGAAAAATAGATGTACAGGCTTTGTTGTTGTTTTGGTGCTATTTTCATCAACATTCCGATTTTATTACAAAATTAACTAGAAGAAAGTAGAACATGAATGAATCAATAGTTGATAATTTTCCAAATTTTCTACTCAACAAGGATATTTAGAATCCCAGTAATGTACTAATAGCTTCTGTATGCTTAACAGCTGGAAAAAAAACTTGCAAAATACAAGTTCTCAGCATGCACACTGTCTGAGTTGTGTACACATTCTACTTGCAAGTACTGCTGTTAAGTATTATGCACACTGGTATTTTTAGAGGCATGAGCAGGACAATAAAAAAGATTATTCTGTTGATTTTATGGAGAAATAAGCATTGAAACTTGGTATTTTATCACTCACCAGATACTAAAAAAGTACAGCCAAACCAAAATAGTGAATGCAGAAGTAGTCTGAAAAGATTATTCTGTTTCACATGAGAAAATACATAAACGTAATCAAGAAATTATTGGCAATATAATTTTAATAACTTCAAAACTTTATATATTTTCTTATAACTTCAGGTTATAGCTAGAATGCTTCATTTCTGGGCTTGTTTTCCCTTGTGGAGTGTGGGGAGGAAAAAGACAGAACTACAGAACTTGCATCAACTTTATCAAACCTCAAGACAACTTTTAATAATTACACATACTCTAACTTCTGATTTCTAAAACCAGAAGAAATTGCATTTAATGACATACTTCCATATCACAAATGAATTAAAAGACTTATTTTAAAGCCCCAATTGTTTGGAGACAAGCCTCTACCAGCAACTATTCTTTTTTAATTATTTCTTTGCATTTTCCATGCAGTGTGCTGCAACTGGCATCTAAATAGTTTCTTTGCCGTCATGAAGTGAAACATCTTGAATGCTCAAACTGTATTTTTATGAGTGCCGAGGGACCCTAAATTTTAGTGGTCTATTAAATGCCAGCAATTTCATGCTGCCTTGCATAAAACAGCATTCACATATTAGAGCAGTGCGATTCCATAGCTGCATTATGCTTCTCTCACACAACTCAAATACAAGTTGTGTATTTCATTTAAAAAAAAAAAAAAATATTTCTTTCAAAACACATGCACTTTTTCAATGAATATATTTAAAGTTCTGTTTCATTGTTATATGTTACACTATCCACATGGACAGCAAGTACAACCAAGTAGAGATAATGAAATTCACAAATACAGATAGCATTCCTTTTATTTGAATTCTGTTTATTACTTAAAGACAGTTAAGTTGTAAATGCATAACCCTTTGTCACCTGGCATGAACATACTAACAAAATTTTCTCTGAAAACCCAAATTTACTTTGCCATAAAAAGCACTATACTAAGCTTATTTAATATACGTTACTTTGAAGAATCCATTTCTGTAAATCTTTCTGCTGCCCAACCTTTCAGTGTCAGTTTTATTCTCTTACCTGGCAATACTATCCTTTTCAAGAAGAAGTCCAGTCCTATGGTTTGTTTGTACTGCTTTCCAAACGTTTCTTGGGCAAAACGTGTGGCTAAGGATGTCTGAAACAGAACAATATCAAATTAAGTTGTCATTTTAAAGAGCTAAAAAACCTGATGTTAAACCAGAAGTATGAAATACCATTTAGCACTTTTTAAGCACGCTGACAGCACTCATGCATTTGGATTGACAAGCATTCCAGCCAGCTTCAACATAATAAGAGTAGGTGGCAAAGGCTACTAATTTATGCAAAAAGCATCAAGGCATATATTTCCTTTGTATTTCTAAGATATTGTGATATTCGTATTACAAAATATTACACAGATTTGAATAAGGTGTCATTAGTAAGCTCAAATCGACACAAATCTACGCGACACCATCCATACCTGAAGAGCCTATTATTTTTAAAAAGTGTTCATTTCCAAAACAAGGGTCCTTCCCTGGTACAGAACAGCATGATCCAAGACCAACTTTCTGGGAGTGAACAGAGATCTGCACAGTGCAGAGTCACACAGGGGCTCCAAAGTGAGGCAGGATTCCTGCCAGTGTACATCAAAGTTTCGGGATAACATAAAATCTAAGATAGGAAGAGTACTTTCTTGTACACATTAAAAACTAAACTCATGTTAAGAATGCACATTTGCAGAATCATTCCTTTCAGCAGAACTTTGGAAACTTATCTCTTCCTTTTATATTTTGTGGATTTATGAAAGTAGACACTGTTGACCTAATAAAGAATAAGCTTTTACTACATACTGCTAAAAGGATTCAACTAACCTACATAAAGTGATGAAGCCAGGCATTTATATTCTTTCACTAGCAATTTAAGTTCTTCATGAAAAGCAAAATAAAAGAAGAAAAAAAAAAAAGAAAAGGAAAGGGAGGGGAGGGGAAAAAAAGCCCCAAAATCTAAGATTTAAGAAAAGGAAAGGGAAAAATAAATAAAAAAGGAGCAAAGCAATTATAAAGAATACATAAGTTTGTATTGTGGAAAAAAAATAAATACTATATTAAAAATAAAGGTCACATAGATAAAATACATCCTAGATCAAATTAGTGGCACACACTTACAAATCTCTTGTTGATATGATATCTGAACAAATAAAAACAATTGCAGGAAAAAAAAATATTTACATATGCATTTACATATCTAGGGGGGGAAAAAAAGCCTAACAGCCCCCCAAAACTATTCCACTGAGAAAACTCAAAACGGACAAGAAGGAATTTTTTTGCCAGCTTTCCATTCATTATGGCCTGAAGAGATGAGTCATAATTCAATTGTTATTAGAAACTGCTGTTAGAGCACATTTAGTTAAAAATGCAATAGCAAAATAATGCCAATAATTCTGAAAAATGAGAATAGGCAAGTTCTATTAATAGAATTGTTATAATAAAGATCTAAATTATGCTCATAATGTCAAATCTATGCAGAAAGAAAAGGTAATTTACTCTTTTTTGCATGAAAACATGTACACCAGAGCTCCAGCATTACAGCTCTAGTATGAATAGGAAAACAGTTATTCAACTATTAAATTATCTGTGAAGTAAATAACACAAGATTTACTCTTTTCTTGTTTCTATAATCACATTTATATTCCTATCGCTATCACATATGCATATATAGATAATAAATGATGTTTTGATATCAGAAGATACATTTAGGAAGTAATAAAAAAAAAAAATCAACTAAAGACTTTGGCAACATTTTCATGTACTTCATTGAACTCAACTCCCGAGAGGATCAAAAATAAATAAATAAATCAGGAAAAAAAGCAAGTAAACTAGAAATAGCATGAGTATGCTTATATATTTATATCACTGTGGAAAGGGTAAAGACCACAGAGGATGAATCGTGAGAAGATTCTTCTGCCTACAGCTATGTGACAGTAACACTAACAACACGTACAAAATAAAATTCAATGCCGATTTAGACTGCAGTGCTAACAAAAAAAAAAAAAAAAAAAAATTAAAGCAAATATAGCACAAATTAATGTATCAGAAAATTAATCAGATGCAAAAAAAAAAAAAAAAAAAAAAATCAGTAGAACTCATTCTTTTAATGACAATAGTTAGCATGTCAAAATTACAAAGACATTATTTTTAATCTGTCATGACCTTAAATATGTAGATAAGAATAAGAACATTCAGGAATACACCATACAGTCTACTCCTTGAAATTTTCGTCTTCAGAAAAGTAACCATTACCCAGAGTACAGATAAAATATCATCTGACTATATCATAGTATTCTATATTCTCTAACACACTAATTTAGATCCCCATTAAATAAGCAACCACTCCCTTCTTGTTTTAAGGGCTCAGTAAATATTAGCTTTATCACTCTGTGACACTCAATATTCCCTGAGGGCTTCTAAAGGTGTTAGTAAAAATAAACAATATACATTCAATTAACAGCCAACCAACAAGAGCAGCAAGTAATCAACAGCATGGTAAAGTTCTCTTAAACTGTTTTCTTCTGCTGTGCTCTTGAATGCAAAGGAATTTATAGCAGAAAATCATTGACTAACTCCTTTTTAATTTTTTTTTCTAATAAATGTTAAAGCTCAAGGAAGGTGTTGGATTACCAGACTAGAGCCTTCTATTCACAGAACAAGCATTTATCCACAAAATACTAAGAGCAACAGTTCAAGCTTCTGTACAACAGTAAACAGAGAACTTATATCAATGCATATTCAAGTACCTCTACAATGCAAATACTCCCTTCAGTCCTAAAATTGCGCTCTGCTACGCCTGCCATAAACAATTCTGCATGACAGCTCTGCCTGTAAGGATATATTGAGTGCAATCTATGTAAAAGGTAACCGAAGTTAAATAACAGTTTAGTAAAACTGCAGTTGTAAACATAAATGATTAGTGCCCATTTTCAAAATAAGATTATGCTCCATTCATAAAATTCCAGCCGTTAATCTAAGAGATCAGAGTATGATATCAAGAAAGCTTTTTTCCTTCATATTTGTACTAAGACAGCCAGGCCACCAACTTTCACAGCAGCCTTTCCATTAGACCCAGTTTGGCAGGTTCACACATTTGTCTGAAATACTTCAAAGCAAATGTTTATATGCTGTTCTGAATGGTAGTACACTACCAAAGGTTGGTGTTACAAACTCCCTCCTTTCAGACAGAAGAAAAAAAAAAAGTTTTGGGTTCTAACATACAGCAGTCAAGACAGCAGTAAAAAATAACGTTAAAAAATTACAGTATTCTAAGTGCAAAATACAGTGGGATATTTTGGGAAGGTTTTTTGGAAGCAAATGAAGATGCAAATAAACCTCACAGGTGAGGCAAGACAATTTCTTGCTTTTATTTTTCAATGTCAACAACTCACAGTGTAAACTGCTGGCAAGTTGTTCCTAAATACCTACAACATTTACGAAAGAGTAGCAGACAAGTCAAACAGAACAAGCAACGACAGCCAGCTCTGACACTGACGACTCACCAGGACAACAGGGGAACTCATAGAGAAAACCCTGCCAAGGGCAATTCTTTGAGTAAAATCCTACAGAAGAAAGCTTTCAGAAAGTGATGATAAGATGTAGTATCATAGTTGTAAGAAAGAAAAACTAAAATGGAAATTCAATGGGATGCAAGCATATAGTTCTGAAGCCATGAATCTCCATTCACATATCAACTTTACCAGCCAGTTGAGAAGCCACTTGCCAAAAAGCAACCCGTATCTATCCCTTCCCTCACTCCCATCCAGAACATCAATGCTGCTCTCTAAGCACAGGAACATTCACCCCTCAAGTCCTGCCCCATCCCTAGTGGCAAAGACTTTAAGATAGACAAAATGAAAGGAAACACTGGGCTAAATAATGAAATGCTTTAACTAACATAAAACCATGTAACTGTCTAACAGAGAATTTGTCACTGAGATCAGTCTAGCTTTGACGGGGGAGGGAGGGAAGTAGTATTTTATAAGCAAAGGAAGTAGTTCTGTCATCTGAAGGTGGTGTCTTTCCACCCCACTCCTAACTACCGATGAAACTTTGTTCACTGGAAAAAGAGAAAATTATCCAGACTTTTTGACATTAGAAATGCCTCTATGAAGCTAGACCGATCTGCACAGGACAGCTGATGCAATTTTCCGTTTGCAAGACTGAACAGTGACAACCATGTTTTTGTCAATGCTGATGAAGTTTTTGAGCCCATGTGAAACAAAGAGATCCAGACCTGGCACAATCTGCCACCCTAAAAATTAAAAATCCGGCACCCTAAAAAAAACCCAAAGCAAGCAGGACATCTCTCTACCCCAGCCTACGTTTCAGCTCCTGCAAATTCTTCCACCAGGTGAGGCATTTGCTCTTTCATTTTCATCACTCATTGGTAAGAGGAGAAGGAAAAGCTAGGACATTTCTGCTACCATACTTCAGCCCCAGTTGCATCAGATGGCAGAAAGGCAGAACCTCGGCTGCTTTGCTCCTCCCACACACCTATTTTTCAGGACCTCCCTTCCCATGAATAGCTCCAAGATTTGCTTCCAGAGGCCCAAAACCTTTTTCAACAGTAGCAAACTGGAGCACTTCTATCTCAAATCAGCATCAGAATACACTTCAACATTAAGCCAATCTGTGCATAGCAAGAGTAGAAATATCTGGATCATAATCTCATTTTTTCCAATCCATACTAGTACTGCTGATTTATTTAAATGGAAAATAATTTTAGTTCAGGAAGAGTGGATTGATTTCAAACTTAGATGCATAATGCTGCTGTCTGTATCTATGTTCCCTACTGTAATCCAAATCAAAAAGCCAACTGCTATTAATAATCACTGTTTATTTTCATCTCACACTATCCCCACTTCCGATTTCTTTTCAGATTGTTTCCCTAGTTTGTCTAGTTCATTAAAATCATTCTCTATTATTATCTTCTTACTAACCAATCTCGCCCTCTTTGATTTTCTGTTCAACAATTTACCATTTCCTTACCATCTCTATTTTATCCTAATACTTTTTCAGATTCTACTGTCTCACTCTCTTACTCCTTTCATTCCTTTTTCCCTTTTTACCCCTCTCTCCTTAGAGTTTCCTCCATCAGTACTTATTCCTACCCTTAAAATTCTAAGTATCCAATTATTCATTCAACCACCACCAAACAAACGAACAAAAGCACAACATCCCTCCCTTGCCTCACGGATAGAGCAATTCCTAGCTAGTGGAAACCCAAACATCACCCTTAGCTTGGGCTGACACCGATTTGTTTTTAAACTGCTACCAACCCTTGCACAGAACCTGAATCATGTTGCTTCTAAACAATGGGTGAGGAAAAAGAAATTAAGTTTTCCCCTTCAGGCAGCAGACTCAAAAAGACAGATTTTTTTTTTTTCTTCTGGAGAATTGAGAGCCCCAGATGGCCAAGAGGGAGGGAATAAAATCTTTTTTTGTTTGTTTTTGTTTTGGTGGGGGAAGCAATGGAAAGAAGTCAAATGTAAGCATCTCACACTAAACACGAGATGTAATATTTCAAAGATACATTCCATTATTTCCTACACTCCTCCCATCCAATGATCCCAGCAACAGAGGAAGAGAAAAACCAATGTCTTGCACAGTAAATGAGAGGCTAAGTATGCATATGTGTAAAGACCACCTGTGAACCAGATGTGAGAGGCAGGCAATTTAGAGTTGAAAACGTATAGACATGTGCATGTTTCAACAAGTAAGCGGAACGAGTAGCCAACAAAGGAGAGGAACCTCAACGATTTAGTCTTCGGAGATGCTTGAAATAGCAGTAGGTACATTTTATCTTTCCATTCCATGACCCAATCACTTCTTTATTTTTACAAGATCTTACAATAAATCTATTATCGCAAGTGTTTGCTGCTAGGCCATCAGGATGGCTGGAAGAAGCCTCTATTACAGCATCATCTAGGGGGGACAGGAGGAAAAGCAGCCCACCACAGCATAACTGCTGCTCATGCAAAATAAACTGCACTTGAAGCACAGGATTCCTAGAGTCAGCAGGAGATTCAGTGAGTGGCAGCTCCTGTGTGAAAGGGAGGAACCAGCAGGAATATACATCAAAACTCAAGAACCCTTGAAAATCTATGTTTGGCAAGAGGTCGTGCCACAAGGTGCTGAGCAGCAGTAGTGAAAAGATTCCTCAGTTTGAATGGAAAACTCCTGGGGAAAGCTACCAGTGAAACAGCACTTCAGCTGTCAATCCTGTGCATTTATTATGCTCTCATCGCATAGAAGAATTTGGAATTGCCCATCTACTGACTCAGGTGAATACAATACCACTTCAGACTGGGTTCAGAATCGCTGGAGACAAAAAATGTTTTGTTTCTTCATAGAGCTCTGCATAAGTGAGGAAAGCCATGCATGTACTTTCACTAACAGCTTATTTCTATTAATGACAGGCAGTTCATTTAGACCACCTCCAAGAATATTTCTACTTTCCATCTGAACTGCGAGGCAGGCAGACCTTCTGCCTCCCCATGTTTAAGATAGAGGAAAAACTCTATTCCTCAATACACACTAAAATTACTATTTTAGCACGTATGTTACAAACAGATGCAGGCTACATGCTGCAATAGACATGCTCACAGGTGCAAGCAAAGAGCAGTGGCTATTTCCATGGGTCAAAAAAGCATCTTTTGCCTTCTTTGGTCTCTATTTGTCAAAATTTCGTTTTTAAAAAGACAACTATAACTTGTTTATAAACAAAGTACTTATAAATAGAACTTAATTACAAATAGGAAAATAAAGTAAAAGTCACAAACAAAAACTAAATTGACCCAGAAGCATCTTTCCAAACTCTGCAACAGCAACTCAAAGAGATGAAAACTGTTCCATCCACCTCGAGAGGTGACCAGCTCCGAAGCCGAAACGAAGAGAGGTTGGGGACCCAGCCAAGCAGCCTTCCCCGCCCGTCTTTTTTGGGGTGGGGGAAACCGCGAGTTGAGGTGCTCTGCCCCGACCCCGGCAGCTCCCGGTGAGAACACCTTTGGGCCACCCCAGCAGCTCCATCCGAGCCACCACCCGTCACCAGCGCCCGGGAAACGCCACCCCAGGCAGCACCACAGCAACTACGTTGTCAGCCGCTCGAGAAAACCGGATTAAAGTCGCATACGCCTCTTCGGGTACGGCCCGAAGCCCCCTTAGAGGGTCCCGCCGCCGAGCAGACACCGAGCCAAGAGCCCGCCTCGGCCGGGCCCGGGAGCGACGGGGGCTCGTCCCGGCTCCTCGCTACGCCCCCACCCCACACACAAGCCAAGGGAGACAAGGGAGAGGGAGAAATGCCGGGCCGGTGGCGGAGGGGGAGCAATCAGCCGCCTCCACGCCGCCGGGGATCGCCACAGACTGGAAGCCGCCGCGGGCTGCTACCCCCTCAGCGGGCGGGGAGAGGAAGGAGGGGAAGGCGGCTGAGGGGGAAGGCCAGGAAGGGGGCTGGGGGCACCGCGGCGACGGAGAGGAGCGGGGCGCTGCCGGCGGGGACCGGCACTGACCTTGCCAGTGGTGCCGTCCCCCAGCACCACTAGCTTGAGCTGGCGGTCCGGACTCTCCTCCTCCTCCGAGTCCGACATGGTCCCTAGGCCCGCGGCGGGGAAGGAGAAGAGGCGGAGGGCAGCCGGGAGGGACGGGGTGCAGGAGGGAGGAGGGAGGAGGGAAAAGGGGAGAGGAGCGAGCGCCGCTCTCACGGAGCCAGCAGCACCGCAGAGGCCGGAGCCGCCATTTTCCCTCAGCGCGCCCACCGTCGCTATGGCCCGCACGGGACGAAACCAACGAGCGAGGGGAGAGAAGGGGGAGAGGGGAGCGAGAGGGGGGGAGCTAGCGGGGGGCACACCCGCCACT